TGGGACACGGTGGACGTGGTGCACACTGCAAGCACGAGAGATCGCCCCGACGCAGCAGCCGCCATGCAGGGCTCGTCTTCCGGAGCGTCGGCCTCCTGGTAAGCCTCCTCGACGGGATCGGCATCCTCGTTCGGGTCCCAGAGTTCGTTCCGCCATTCAGAGCTGGGGGGCCGAACAAGAGGGTCCAGGAGACGCAGACTTGAAAGATATCGCAGGCCCCTAGGAGGACAAGCTCATCCAGCTCATCAGCCTCTTGCGCCTCGCCAGTGACGACGGAGGAGTCCAGAAGTACCAGCAGCAATTGGATGCGCTTCAATCTCAACGGAGGTCAATACCTCTCTCGGTGGACGCGGCCAGTCAGGCCCGCGACGCCGCAGCAGCAGCTCTTGACCCAGCAATCGGAGCAGCAGAAGAACTTGAGGAGCAGCCGGCAGAAACCAAAAAGAGGGTGGCAGAGTGTATCACACGGTTCGACGTGGCGAAGGCGGCGTACACGATCCCGACACTGGCCAACCGAGTGGCAGTACCGGCATCATCGGGAGAGGCGGCCGTAGCATCCTCTGCTTGCATCTACACTGCTTCCCTCCTTGAACGACGTAAGGCTCGATGACGGAGGGCGTTTCGGCTTGAAGGCCCTGAAAACCCTCGACGATTACGAGATCCAGGAGTCGGACCGTGGAGAAACGACAAGGCGAAGGCAGCTCCTGCAGCAGAAGTTCAAAGCACTTGCCCAGCAGTCGTTCAGACAGTTCGCGAACGAGGCGAGGAGCTCGAGCAACCACACAAGGCGCTCAGAGACCGCCTCGTCAAAAAACGGAAGGCCACCAGCGAGGCAGCAGAAGCAGGAGACGGAAAGGTCCAGCCTGAGTCCCAGGCAGCGACTGCGCCAGAAGCAGCCCCAGCAGCCCCCAGCGGGGGCAAAGGCGCAAGAGTGGAAGACCTCACCAAGGAAGACGACGACGTCATGGCAGATACTCGTGCTCGCTTGGTGGCAGCGGCTAAGTGCACATCGATCGCCACATGTTGGGATATTGCCGAGCTCTAGAGACAACGCTGCACATGACCAGTTGCGTGCTTCGGCGGCAGACTACTCGTTCGACCTAGGCTTGCTACCTGCACTCTGTGTCCTATAAATACGGATGCCGACGTCATACGAGGTGGGGGGCCTCTATCGGCGGCCCCACGGAGGCCAACATGACCACAGTGGTAGGGTGCGGTCGTGCGACGGGGATCTCTTACCTGATGATGATGGCCACGCTCGGAGGCATGGCCATCTCGATCACCCCGTGCCGCAGTATCAACCTCACCGATGACCTTAAGTCCCATGTCGTAGGCGGCCCCGCCGCCGCGGTGAGGCACTCCACCCAGGCCCCCGTCAAGGTGCCCCAGTACTTACATGGCCAAAGTTCAGCTCCCCATCACCTGGAGCAAGACCAAGTTCATGACCTCAAACCCCGAGGCCCTGAACGAGGACCGCCCTATGGGGCCACAAAACGTGTGAGGGGTGTGCCGAGATGGCAATGGAACCGCAGGCGAATCCAACCACTGGAGCCTTGGTGGAGCCCCCTTATGAGGTCACAAAACGTATGAGAGGTGTGCCGAAATGGGGGTGGAACCGCATGCGAACGCAGCCACTGGGGCCGTCGGTGGAGCTCCCTATGGGGCCACGAGACGTTTGAGGGGTGTGCCGACAAGCGGGTGGAATCGCATGCGAACGCAGCCACTGGGGCCTTCGGAGGAGCTCCTATGGGGCCACGAAGCGTGTGAGGGGTGTGCCGAGCAGCCACTGGGGCCTTGGTGAAGCTCCCTAACTATGGGGCCACGAGACGTTTGAGGGAGTGCCGACAAGCGGGTGGAATCGCATGCGAACGCAGCCATTGGGGCCGTCGGTGAAGCTCCCTATGGGGCCACAAAGCGTGTGAGGGGTGTGCCGAAATGTTGGTGGAACAGCATGCGAACGCAGCCGCTGGGGCCTTCGGTGGAGCCTCCCTATGGGGCCACGAAGCGTGTGAGGGGTGTGCCAAAATAAGGATGGAACAACATGCGAACGCAACCACTGGGGCCTTTTGGTGGAACTCCCTATGGGGCCGCGAAACGTGTGAGAGGTGTGCCGAAATGGTGGTGGAACCGCACGCGAACGCAGCCGCTGGGGCCTTCGGTTGAGCTCCCTATGGGGCCACACAACGTGTGAGGGATGTGTGACATGTGGGGTGTGCCGACATGGGGGTGTGGAGGATGGAGGAGCGGGAGGAGGAGGGGAGGAGGAGTGGTTAGGAGAGGAGGAACGCGGGGCGCTGTCTCTTCAAAACGAGGACCCAACAGCACAGGATGGTCGGGACACAGTCTACTCTGCATCGACCCCCACACTCATGAAAAGAAAGCTCGACATCGACTCGACCCCGCCCTACAGCGCATGACGACAACCACGCACATGGCCCACGCGTCGCATTCAAGCGCCCCGGTGGGCCTGGCGACGGCCTTCATGCGCGGCGAAGGCACTACTGGCTGTCACCCTCCCAAAACATATGCTCGCCCAGCATGGTTGCGATCCAGGCCGCCACATGAAGCATGGTGAGCCATATCTCGCCCTAGCAATTCCCATAGGCTCCTAATTTCGCCTGGAGCTCGGCCGAATGGCGTAAGCCTCCCGAACCAGCATGGTGGGCATTGTGACGGTGACGACGACGACGACGACGATGATGACGATGACGACGACGACGACGACGATGATGATGCTGATGATGATGATGATGATGATGATGATGATGATGATGATGATGATGATGATGATGATGATGATGGTTATGATGATGATGATGATGATGATGATGATGATGATGATGATGATGATGATGTTGATGATAACGACGAGGATGATGATGACGATGATAAAAGAAAAGAGATAATGATGAGAAAAACACATTGATGATGGTGAGTATGATGGTGACGACGACGACGACGACGACGACGACGACGACGATGCGGACGACGAATACTGCGACAACGATGACGAAGATGACGATGACGGAGCGGCAGGGGAGGGGGGAGGAGCAGAGGCAGGGGCGCCGCGCGGCGCCGCGGATCCGGGACGAGGGCGCAAACACGCGAGAGGACCGGGAGCAAACACCCCGCGGGAGGGCCGCCGGGCCCCGCGGGCAGGGCGTGGCCAGCGGGCCTGGAACCGACGAGAAGACCTCTGCCAGGCGGGCGGGAGCCACGGGCACAGCCTTGAGCGGGCACCGACCGCCCCGGCAGTCCCCACAGGCCTACCACGACATGCTCTTGGAACCCAGAGATGTTCTAAGAACGACAGCAATAGTCTTAGAACGTAGGCCCGATGTGTGAACGCAGGGCTGAACCTAAACGGTGCTCTTCGTTTTCGTTTTGTTTCCGTTTTCCCTCGCCTCTGTCTCGAATCCGCCTGTACCGCAGCACGAAGTCGAAACGAACACTGCCCACGAAATCACCAAAAACACCGTTTCGGTCCAGCCTTGCGTTAAAAGGAAGCAGTCCCAGACTCGACTGTTCCAAGAGCATCTCGTGCAGGCCACAGATAAGGTCCGTAGAACCTTATCTAGTAGGCCTACAGCATGCACGCCAGGACGCTTCGCCACTGCTTGACATCCACGGCCTCGCGGTTGGGACCCCGCGGCCGCGACCCGACCGAACCTGCCGGGCGGCGCGCGTGGCGCGCGGACGCCGCGCCCCGCACGCGTGGCGTGCTCCCGTGGGGGCTGGCGCCTCCGCGGCCTCCGTGGCCGCCTCGGCCACCCGCCGCCTCCTGGCAGAGCAGCCGAGGCGGCGCGGAGGAGCACGACCGGAGCCCCGGACCCCACCCTCCCGCGGCTCCCCTCGGCGATCGGGCAGGTCCTCCTGCAGGCGGATGGGGGCGAAGCACGACCGGAGCCCCAGACCCCACCTTCCCGCGGCTCCTCTCGGCGATCGGGCAGGTCCCCCTAAAGCCAGGCGGAGGGGCGAGAAATGATGAGAAGAGGAGCCAGAAGCTGCCCAGACATGCTCAGACACACATCTCGAAAGATCCGTCCCCGTACTGAGTTGTGGACTCTTTTGACTACCCACCAGACCACCCCAACCCAACCCGAAGACCCGATTTTCGGGTTGGGGGGGGATCAAGGGTTCCACGCGTGTTTTTTCGAGGTTTCCCGACCCCCCCCCCCAACTAGAAATCGATGGAAAAATCTGAACCTTCGGGTTGGGTTGGGGTGGTTTGGTGGGCGGTGATCTTTGGGCCTCTTCCTCCTGCAGTGGGGAGAGGCCCCACGTGAGGCTCTGCCTCCCGAGCCGCACGGCTCTGCGAGGGCCACGGGAGCCCCAAGCCCCGCAAAGAGAGCGCGCAGAGCCGACAAGAAGAAGGTGCGGTGGAGGCCCGATGACAAGAAACCTTCCACAAGAACCCCCTCCTCCTCCTCCTCCTCCTCCTCCTCCTCGTCCTCCTCCTCCTCCTCCTCCTTGTTCTCCTCCTCCTTGTTCTCCTCCTCCTCCTCCTCCTCCTCGTCCTCGTCCACCTCCTCCTCCTCCTCCCTGAGGCCCCAGGGCGCCCGTTGATTTTTCCTGGTCTGGGAACGTCGCGCTCTCCGTCGTAAGACGGGTCCTCGGACGGGTCCTGGACCGCGGAGCGTCCCCCCCGGGGCCAGCTCGTCATCCTGCGGAGCTCGTCTTACCGCCCCGGGGCCCGTGGACGGTTGCGTGCGAGATCGGCCCCGAGGACAAACAGGACTGCCCATGCTGGACACAGATTGACAACTCTCTGTCGCTCCATTGCAGACGATGAGCCACGTCCACATCGCAGAGCGGAGAGGGGGGGGGGGGGCGCTGGGGAGGGGCACGCCACTCACGCCCCATCGCCGCGGCGACCTCCCAAACTGCCCGGAGGTTTCGTTCGGCGCCGGGTACCACGCAAAGACTGGTTGCTTAAACGATACTGAGAACATGTGTGAAGAGGCACAGGTGCTCGAAAACGCTTCGTGGCCATCGCGGGCCTCCGCTCCCGGCTGCTCCGGCGCGCCCTCCGCCGCCCTCGGCCGCTTCCCCGCGGGCTCGCCGCCCTGCCAGCGGCTCCTCCTCGCGAGGGCCCCCTCGAGCGCCGCGTCCTCGCCGGCCGCGGCCTCGCGCTTGGCCCACCTCGGCGCGGAGGCAAGGGGGGCCCCTCGAGGGGCACGGGCCCCCCATGGGACCCACACAGGCATACGAATGCTATGTGGCCTCCTCGGAGGCGCGCGTCCGACCCGAACATATAGTGTACCCGTCTCGCAGTACATCGTTTCCCGAGCGGCGTGGCCAGAAAGCGCCCGCCACGACGCATATACTATAAGATTTCGCGGTGCGCGCATCGCCCCCGGGGGCGCGACGCACATGTAGTATAAGTACGTTGGGGTGACGCCGACCCTAGACCAGGGCTTTGCGAACCAGGACTGGACAAGCGCGTTCCACGACTCGCCAAGAAACTACTCGCAAATGGCCAGGATCCGCCGCGGAGGATCTACGATCCAGACATCGGGGCAAGCACGTGTTTTTGAGGTTGTTGGACATTTTCGAGTAGGCACTTTGCGACTAGCGGAATGCGCTCGGTAAAGGACTCTGAAAGATCCACCTGGGCGACGAGAAGGAACGGGTCTTGCGCGCGATGAAATAGCGACCTTCCGCGGCAGCTTACGCGGGCCGCCAGCGCGGCACGCGAACTATACCTTGTCAACGTGGGAACTTACATGCGACCTTAGGCGGGCAGCTTGCGCGCGAATGTCCGCGCAATCGACCCCGCTGTCTTCCGTCGCTCTCCGTGAGAAGACGAAACACTGAGAACGCTTCGTCCGACGGCTGCGACTTTCTCGGGCGCTCCAGCATCCTCGCGTATCAAAAGTATCCGTTTGGGGCTCCCTGAAAGGGACACGGGCCCCAGACCCCGGGGCCTTCCCCTGGGACCAGCCCTTCATCCTGAGCATCCGGAGCAGTTTTCGGACGGCCCAGGTCCCCAAGGAGGGCCCTATGGCCGAAATCTGTGAAACAACAACATCTGAAGGAGGAAGACATGGAACAGGAGAGAAGGAGCAGGAGGAGGAGGAGGAGGAGGAGGAGGAGGAGGAGGAGGAGGAGGAGGAGGAGGAGGAGGAGGAGGAGGAGGGGGAGGAGGAGGAGGAGGAGGAGGAGGAGGAGGAGGAGTAGGAGGAGGAGGAGGAGGAGGACCCGCTTCCTTCGCGGCGACCACCGCCGCAGCCACCCCTTCTGCGCGGCCTCGCCGGCGTCCGCAGGCGCCGCCGACTCGCTGACGGGAGACGCGTCCAGCGCCGAGGCCTCCTCCTCCAGCGCTGGCAGCGCCTCTGCTCCCTCGCCGGCCCAAGTCTGGGGAAGCCCGTGCTCTGCTCGTCGCACCCATCTCGGGTACTGCAGGTCCGTGCCGTGTCGACTCTGGCGTTGGTTCCTGACACCGCGCTGGATCGTTCAACCTTGAACGATCGGCTGTCTCCGCAACGTCCGATCGTTCAACATCGACCGATTCTGGGCCGCCGTCGGCGTTCAACGTTGAACGTCGGCGGCGGGGTCGCCGCCGGTCGACACGACGCGAACCTACCGTACAGGCAAGAGTGACCCTGACTTCGTATCCGCCGTGCCTCGGCCGATTTCTCTTCGTCTTTCAAAAAAAAAGAGCATGGAGGACCTGCATCCCCCATCGATGCGAAGAAGTAGGAGCGGGAAGCTCCGCCTCGGCAAGAAAAGGCGACTCTGTCCTCGCAGAGCAGGGCGGATTGTCGACACCGGCGGAGCTCCACGAGCAGGGCGAGGTTGGCCACCGTACCTGCGAAACCGTGCTTCCTGCTGCGACGGAGCTGGAGCCAGGGAGCCCCGGGCCAGGAGCGGCACGCGGCCTCAGAGGGCCGCGGGGAGGCCGAATCCGAGCGCACAGGCCACATGCCGGCTGGGGGGGGGGGGGGCCCCCGTGGGCCCGCACCGGCTGAGCAGAGACGGACCGTGCCGAGATTCCCAAGGAGGCCTACCACGACAGGTTCTCTTAGAGCACAAGAACATTCTAAGATTATAGGGCGTATTCTGACATGCCCCCCCAAAAACTATCCCGGCCAGAAATGCTCTCATGGCATGTCGTGCAAGCCGCAGAAGGCGCTCAGAAGATGCTTTGGTGGGCCTATACGCAAGCTGGGACGCCTCGCCACTGCTTGAACCAGAGGTCACTCCGGCGAGGGGTCACTTTTAATCGTGGCCGACCAAAGAAAAGTCTCGGGGCCGACGGCCACCCCACCTGGTGGGGGCCAAGCACTGACGGCCCCCCCAGCTGTGGCCAGAGCCTGCCTCGTTGGGCGCGCGCTACCACCCAGCTCAGCGCAAGCCCAGCTCAACCAATTCAGGACAACTGCGCTGCATGTTTGGGGCGGCTTCCACAACCAACATGCAAGGCCACCTCCAGACCTGTAGACCCGACATAGCGATGACAGCTACAACATCTCAAACAAATGCGGCCGGAGCCCCAGACCCAGTGTTTCGAGCTGCAGCCTTCGAGCTGGATCGGTCTGTGATGGGCCCAGGGCCCGAAATGAGCGAAAACGCCCCGTGTGAAAAACTGCAGCGCCCGGATCTGAGAGCGGCCGCGAGCGGCTCCGAAACCCACCTCCGCCGAAATCTGGCCCTGAGGTATTCAGCGGCACTGGGCGCTCTGGCTGAGCCCCGCTTGCGCTGAACCCCGCAACCTGCTGGCCGGAGGAGGAGGAGGAGGACGAGGACGAGGAGGAGGAGGAGGAGGAGGAGGAGGAGGAGGAGGAGGAGGGAGGAGGATGGGAGGAGGAGGAGGAGGAGGAGGAAGAGGAGGAGGAAGAGGAGGAGGAGGAGGAGGAGGAGGAGGAGGAGGCTGAGGAGGAGTTCCTGGGGCCAAGACGCTGCAATCTCCGAGGGCTGAAGTCCGCCCAACTCAAAAAATCTTGGGGGGGTCCAACAGTCGTCTTGGAGCCGCATTGGACTTCGGCCAGGCTGGCGACGCGCAAAAGGGGGCAGGAGGAGGGGGGAAGGGCTTCTTAGAAGGAGGCTGCTCCTTAGAAGGCGTTGGCCCTGCATCTCTAGAAAAGGCAAGGCCCGCGCCTTCTAAGAGCGGGTGTGCTCCTGAGACCCCCCCCTTCCCCCTGCCCGCGGAGGAAGAGGAAGAGGAGTGGGGAGGAGGAGGAGGAGGAGGAGGAGGAGGAGGAGGAGGAGGAGGAGGAGAGAAATGAGGAGGGGTGGAGGAGGTAGGAGGGGAGGAGGAGAAGGAGAAGGAGGATGAGGGAGGATGAGGAGGATGAGGAGGATTGAGGGGTGTAGGGAGATGAGGAGGATGAGGAGGATGAGGGAGGAGGAGGAGGAGGAGGAGGGGAGAGGAGGAGGAGGAGGAGGAGGAGAGGAGGGGAGGAGGAAGGAGGGAGGAGGGGGGGGGAGGAGGAGGAGAGGAGGAGGAGGAGGAGGGGAGGAGGAGGAGGAGGAGGAGGAGGAGGAGGGGAGGAGGAGGAGGGAGGAGGAGGAGGAGGGGAGGGAGGAGGAGGAGGAGGAGGCGGATGAGGAGGAGAGCGGAGGGAGGAGGAGGAGGAGGAGGAGGAGGAGGAGGAGGAGAGGAGGAGGAGGAAGGAGGAGGAGGGGGAGAGAGTGAGGAGGACGTGGAGGAGGAGGAGGGGAAGGAGGAGGAGGAGGAGGAGGAGGAGGAGGAGGGAGGCGGAGGGAGGCGGGGGGGGGTAGGGAGGAGGAGGGGGAGGAGGAGGGAGGAGGAGGAGGAGGGAGGAGGAGGAGGAGGAGGAGGAGGGGAGGAAGGAGGAGGAGGAGGAGGAGGAGGATGAGCAGGGGGAGGAGGAGGAGGGGAGGAGGAGGGGGAGGAAGGGGGAGGAGGAGGAGGAGCAGGAGAGGAGGAGGAGGAGGAGGAGGACGAGGAGGAGGAGGAGGAGGAGGAGGAGGAGGAGGAGGAGGAGGAGGAGGAGGAAGAGGAGGAGGAAGAGGAGGAGGAAGAGGAGGAGGAGGAGGAGGAGGAGGGGGAGGAGGCTGAGGAGGAGTTCCTGGGGCCAAGACGCTGCAATCTCCGAGGGCTGAAGTTCGCCCAACTCAACATTAGCCTGGCGAAGAACCCAACCATATGCAGTTGTCAGTACCGCAGCTGCGGGTTTCATCTTCAATGGAACTCCCCCTAGGATTACGGAACGTGTGAGGGGTGTGCCGGGATGGGTGCCACTGGGGCATTCGGCGAAGCTCCCTATGGGGACATGAAACACGCGCGGGGCGTGCCGACATGGGTGGCGGAAACGCATGTGCGGGCCGCAACTGGGGCCTCCAGTGGAGCTCCCTATGGGTCCCCAAAACATGATGCTGCTGCGGGGGGGGGGGTGGCCGGGATGGGTGGCGGAGACGCATGTAAGCGCCGCTACTGGGGCCTTCGGTGGAGCTCCCTATGGGGCCACGAAGCGCGTGAGGGGTGTACTGGGATGTGTGGCGGGGACGCATGTGAGCGCCGCCACTGGGGCCTTCGGTGCAGCTCCCTATGGGGCCACGAAACGTGTGAGGGGTGTGCCGAATTGGGTGCGGGTGGTGACGCATGCGGGCGGTGCCACTGGGGCCTTCGGTGGAGCTCCCTATGGGGCCACGAAACCTGTTGTTGTGAGGGGCGTGCCGGGATGGGTGGCGGGGACGCATGTGAGCGCGGCCGCTGGGGCCTTCGGTGGAGCTCCCTATGGGGCCACGAAACGTGTGAGGGGTGTGCCGAATTGGGTGGGTGTGGGTGACGCATGTGAGCGCCGCCACTGGGGCCTCCGGTGGATGATGGGGCCACGAAACCTGTCAGGGATGTGCCGAAATGGGTGTGCGGGACGCATGCGCATGTGAGCGCCGCCACTGGGGCCTTCGGTGGAGCTCCCTATGGGGCCACGAAACGTGTGAGGGGCGTGCCGAAATGGGTGTGGGTGACGCATGCGGGCGCGGGCACTGGGGCCTTCGTGGAGCTCCCTATGGGGCCACGAAACGTGTAAGGGGTGTGCCGAAATGGGTGTGGGTGACGCATGTGGGCGCGGGCACTGGGGCCTTCGGTGGAGCTCCCCATGGAGCCACGAAGCGTGTGAGGGGTGTGCCGAAAAGGGTGTGGCTGACGCATGCGGGCGGCAGCACTGGGGCCTTCGGCGGAGCTTCTACTATGGGGCCACGAAACGTGTGAGGGGTGTGCCGAATTGTGTGTGGGTGACGCATGCAGGCGGCAGCACTGGGCCTTCGGCGGAGCTCCTATGGGGCCACGGAACGTGTGAGGGTGTGCCGAATGGGTGTGGCTGACGCATGCGGGCGGGGCACTGGGGCCTTCGGTGGAGTCCCTATGGAGCCACGAAACGTGTGAGGGGTGTGCCGAATGGGTGTGGGGGGCGCATGCGGCCGCGGGCACTGGGGCCTTCGGTGGAGCTCCCTATGGAGCCACGAAACGTGTGAGGGGTGTGCCGAAATGGGTGTGGGTGACGCATGCGGGCGCGGGCACTGGGGCCTTCGGTGGAGTTCCCTATGGAGCCACGAAACGTGTGAGGGGTGTGCCGAAATGGGTGTGGGTGACGCATGCGGGCGCGGGCACTGGGGCCTTCGGTGGAGCTCCCTATGGAGCCACGAAACGTGTGAGGGGTGTGCCGAAATGGGTGTGGGTGGCGCATGCGGGCGCGGGCACTGGGGCCTTCGGTGGAGCTCCCTATGGAGCCACGAAGCGTGTGAGGGGTGTGCCGAAATGGGTGTGGGTGGCGCATGCGGGCGCGGGCACTGAGGCCTTCGGTGGAGCTCCCTATGGAGCCACGAAGCGTGTGAGGGGTGTGCCGAAGTGAGTGTGGGTGGCGCATGCGGGCGCGGGCACTGGGGCCTTCGGTGGAGCTCCCTATGAAGCCACGAAACGTGTGAGGGGTGTGCCGAAATGGGTGTGGGTGACGCATGCGGGCGCGGGCACTGGGGCCTTTGGTGGAGCTCCCTATGGAGCCACGAAACGGTGTACTGGGTGGGTGAAGAGGAGAGGAGGAGAGGAGGGGAGGAGAGGAGGAGAGGAGAGGAGGCGGAGGAGGAGAGGAGGAGGAAGGAGACGCGGGGCACCGTCTCTTCAAAACGAGGACCCAACACCACAGGATGGTTGGGAAAAATCGTGGGGGGTTCCATCAGTCGTCTTGGAGCCGCATTGGACTTCGGCCAGGCTGGCGACGCGCAAAAGGGGGCAGGAGGAGGGGGGGGGGCTTCTTAGAAGGAGGCTGCTCCTTAGAAGGCGTTGGCCCTGCATCTCTAGAAAAGGCAAGGCCCGCGCATTCTATAGCGGGTGTGCTCCTGAGACCCCCCCCCCTCCCCCTGCCCGCGGAGGAAGAGGAAGAGGAGGGGGAGGAGGAGGAGGAGGAGGAGGAGGAGGAGGAGGGGAGGAGGAGGAGGAGGAGGAGGAGGAGAGGAGGAGGGGAGGGGAGACGAGGAGGGGGAGGAGGAGGAAGGAGGAGAGGATATGAGGAGGTGGAGGAGGAGGAGGAGGAGGAGGAGGAGGAGGAGGAGGAAGGAGGAGGAGAAGGAGAGGAGAAGGAGAAGGAGGAGGGAGGAGGAGGAGGAGGAGGCGGAGTGAGGAGGAGGAGGAGGAGGAGGAGGAGGAGGAGGAGGAGGAGGAGGAGGAGGAGGAGGAGGAGGAGGGGAGAGGGATGGGAGGGGACGTGGATAGGAGGAGGAGGAGGAGGAGGAGGAGGAGGAGGAGGCGGAGGAGGAGGAGGAGGAGGGGGCGGAGGAGGAGGAGGGGGAGATGAGGAGGAGGCGGAGGAGGAGGAGGAGAGGAGAGGGGGAGAGGAGGAGGAGGGGGAGAAGGGAGGAGGAGGAGGAGGAGGAGAAGGTGGAAGGGGAGTGGGCCATAGGTGGAGGAGGAAGATGAGGAGCCCTCTGTACGTGACTGGCAGGCCCGCCGCGCTGGCCTCCCGCATGGCGGCCTCCGTCCGCTGCGCCTTGAGCTCCGCCCCAGCAGCCCCGCCAGGCGGCGCTGGTCGCTTGGCGCCCGCGGGAGCCACCGCGGGCGCCTCCTCCGAGAGCACCGCGGCCGCTTCCGCGCACTCGCCCGTGCCTGCAGGCGATGCGAGGAGGAGGAGGAGGAGGAGGAGGAGGAGGAGGAGGAGGAGGAGGAGGAGGAGGAGGAGGAGGAGGGGGATATGCTATGCTATGGGTATGCTATGAGCGCGGACCTCTGTCCTCTACAAAATTACCCACACTGGGGTTAGTCTGAACTGCCTGAATCTCCTCCTCCTCCCACCGCCCCAAAAACGCGGGGCGGCTCCCGTCGTCGAGCCTGAGCACTCCGAAGCTGTGCTGCACTCTCCTGGGCGGCAGGCCTTGCCTCCGCTGGGCCGGGCGGTGGGGGAGGGGCAAGGGAGGGGCCCCCTGGCGCTTCTCCTTCGCACGAACGACCGACGTGAGACGACACCACCCTCTCACGATCACGCGCCGCCATAGCCTCCACTACGGCTTGAGGGGGCCCCTCCCTCCTAGGATAAATACCCTTCCGAATTCGAGCGAGGTTCTCGGTCCCCTTGGGGGTCAATCCCTCGCAACGCTTGCTGATATGCCTGCCATCGACCGTGGCAAAACGACCGCACTTGCTACAGGCATGCATGAACCACTTGTCCACATAAAACATCGCATGAGTTTCGTGAAACTCAAAGGCCCCCGCCACGAAACTTCTGGGAGCCTGAATCACCTCTGGGGGCAACAGTCCCTCTGGGATGGCCCTGCCAGCGCACGGGGTGGCCGAGAACATGAGCAGTCGAGAGCCTGGCACCACCTGATCACAAACCGCACACCTCCAGCCCGTGCCCGACTTCGCAAGGCGGTGGGCCGACTCTCGAACTGCTACAGCACACTTGTTGGCTGGGGGTCGCTTAGCAACCTCCTGCCTTCCATTCTTCGCTTGGACTTCTGCACTAGCTGAGTCGGCCAGCGCTCGTCTCGCTCGCCGACGCACTAAACTTGCAATGGCATCTATTCTGTCTGTCTGCGGGTTCTCCCCAACCAAACCGAACTCCCAAGCCAGCTCCGCCCCCTCTCCCGCCCATATATCAGCTACCGCATTACCTGCCGCAGTCTCTAACTGCCGCTCGGTAGTCAGCTGCTCTGGGGATTCATCCGTGTGAGAGGGTGTCCACTGCACTTCGACAGTGGCGGTATCTGGCCTAGAACTCCAGGACACTCGGGCCCTGGTCCACAAGTCTTCGTTGGCCCCTGTCGGGCTCGGGTTCTCCATTTTAAAACGCCACTTCTTAGCGACCGACAAATGATCAGTGACGAAAACGAACGGCCCAGGGATCTCTTCCAAAGCTAAACAAAACGCCTGGATCTCAGAGCGCGGGACGGTTTGGCGGGCTCCGAGCAGGGGGCGGGCCAAAGCCGCCTGGGCAATCCATTCTCCCTGGGACCATCTCAGGGAGCATATGGCAGAGCCACATCTCCTCCGTCTGGGGTCGTCCGAGAATCGCCCCCCCGAGCCGTCGCCGTAAACCTTTAAAACCCCGTCGCTTCCTCGAGAGGCCTCAAAGTCCCCCTCACCGCCCAGTCTAAGCTCCCGACCCTCCAGCCGCCCATCGTCAAAGAGGGGGTGAGTGAGGCGAGTAGGGGGAAGACCACGGAGCCATAAAGCTGGCTCTGCTTCTGCTTGTGCTAAAGCTGCTACAACCAAAGACTCAGTTTTGCTATAATCGCTATGCTCAGTGTTCCTGGAACATTCCCATATTCTATGCTTCAAGCTCTCAGGGGCTTGCTTACATCTCGGGCAATCGACTGAAACTTCGCATCCTTTTTCCTTGCAGCGAACTCTCGGCCACTGGCCGCCAGCGACCACCGTCACGTTGAGCGCCTGCTGGTCCAGCAACCCCTTGCGCTCGAACCTGCGCTGCTCCATCACAATGGGCCACAAGTCTCCGCCCTCCTGCAAGTTGTCACCATACTCGTGCTTGGCCGCCTCCGTCCAGAGGTCCCTGCGTAGGTCGCCCTCCAGGTCGTCCAGAAGCTCCTGGAAGCAGCCCGTGGCCACGAACTTGCCGTCCTCGGAGGTCGGGAGCTCCCACATCTCCAGCTCTTCAGGTCCAGGTCGATGCCATTGAGTGGCTGTCGAGGGTGTCCATCCAGCATCCATTAGCGTTGCCATCAGAGCTCCCGTGGGGCCCCGTACAGCTCGCCATCTCTTGTCGCCATACCTGTGGAGCCGCGCCTTGACGCACGGCCATGCTTTCGCAACTCGTCGATGGATGTGGGGAAACATCTGCCACAGACCTATCCATTCTCGTACAACACCCAGTCTGAGATCTACTGCAGGGTCTCTCAGACCTAACTCCATGCCCAGCGTGGTCGTCAGACATCGACCTCCTGCATTGCCTCCTGCCACTTTGCCCGCCTGCCTTCTCAGCACGGTGATCGCCTGCTTGGACATGCCGTACGTCTGCTGCCCATAGATCGCCTGCGGCAGTGCGCCAACATTGTAGAGGCCCTTGGACTCATACTTCAGCGCAGCGATCTTCCTCAGCTTCACTATCTTTGCAAACCTCCTCCTCGCCTTGAGCTGCCGCTGCTTGCTCTTTGCTGCTACCCGCTTACGTCCTGCAGCTGTGTCCAGGCCCAGGTCCGTCGCCACGCCGTTGGCCTTCGCGGGTATGCCACGTATTCGTAAACGCTTAGCTGTCTTTCTCGCCTCCTTCAGGTCTGAGCCAATCACCGTGGTCTTGTTCGATATAGTCATGCGTTGTTCCACCAATCCAACGCATATATCCGTCGACACCTCCAGCAGCTGCTCCGCCACCGTCTGTGAACTGCCCTCACATCTTGCTACCGTGTCGTCCACGAACGTCCACAATCCTGCTGTTGGGTGTCTTCGATGCGCCATCTCAAGCACTGGATGAAGAAACAGCTTCGCTAGTGTTACTCCTCTAGCGGATCCTGCCACCAGTGATCTGGTAGGCCAGATGGCCTCGCTGATGACTGAACGCTCCTGCAAGTATCTGGGTCCAAGAAAGATCATCGCTTCCAATCCAACTGCCACCGCAGGGAATCCTGCCGTACACGCAATCTGCAGTAAGATGACCAGCGAGACCGTGTCGTAGAACTTTTCTATGTCCAACAGCAATGTCATGGCCGAGGCGCCGATCTCGATGCCTGTCTCGTCCAAGATCGACCGCAGGAGTCCTGCCCTGAGCGCCGAGCTGCCCTTGATCGCCGTGTCCCAGTGGTCTGACAGCCCAGCACTCCGCGAGGCACATGCTCCGCCTCGCGCTCTCGACCATAACTTAACTGGTAACGGTAACATACCCAATACACGATCACCTGCGCCTGGCCCAGGCTTGGCCACCATAGCACACTTGGTGGCTGATAGCTGTCTAGGCCATGTCAAGGTACTTTCACTTTTCTGCAATATTTCCAACAATTCTTGCTTAGCCTGACCAGGAAGTCTGTCTATATCCGTGGGGCCAAGCTGATCCAGGCCTTTCGCTTTGGTTGCCGATGTGGCTCGGAGCGCACTGTTGAGCATGTCCATGTCTATGGGGTCCAGATCTTCCTCCCACGCTCTTCGCTTGGTGCGCTCCAGCTGCTCAATGATGTCCGCTCGTCTGTCCACGGGGTCCGTCCAGATGTTCTCCCACTTTCCTGCCTTGATGTTCATGATGATGGTGGGGTCAGCTGTGGCGAAGTCGTCCCTGCTGGCCATCTCATAGCGGGGCGCGTCCTTGGGCTTGACATGCCTGTGCAGGATGCCCGCCTTGGTCTGCCATACCTTTTTTGCCCAGGTGGCGAAGTTCTTCCGAGCCGTGGTCATAGATCTGGACGACGCCACCGCCAAGTGCTTCTCTGTCTGGGCCACCAGATTCGCTAGCTTCCCCTCGTCCAACTGCCATATGTCGGATGCCATGTCGAAGTACATCTCTATGTTGGCCTCAGTCACATTCTTACTGAAGGCGTCCTTCGGCGGATATCCTCGCAGAACTGCAAGCTGCTTCTGTATGCGTGTCACACACATTCTCTGCTGCTGCCCGTCTGTGCCGTTCGCCAAGAGTGACTGATATCTGACCAGATCTACTGCCAGTATACTCCATTCTTCCGCAGGGCCATACCGCATGTGAGTCCTGCCTGGCGTGGGTTTTGCTCGCACCCATCTTATATCAAAGCCAGCTGCGCGTCCCTGGCATCCCTGCGCCTCCTGCTCGTCCAGCTGCTCGTGCCTGATGAACGCCTCCTCCACCTTGGCGACCCACCTGCCGTACTGCTGCGTCAACTGGTACTCGTCCTTCTGGTGCTTCGTGCCTCTGGTGATCATCTTCTCACCTATGATGTGCATTTCCTCCGACAGCTCCAACTCGTGCTCCACGATCCCGACCTGCTCCCAGAGCTCCTCCGAGACGCAGTAGGGCATCCTCCGCACTGGTACGTCCTGGCTGTCGGGGACATGCTGCTCGAATATCATCGCCTCCTCGTACGCCTCCTGCAAGTGCTCCTCCAGGGCCTGCTGCCGACGTCGCTGCGCTTCCTGCTTCCTCTTGCTCGTCTTGGAGTCAGGGTCCGCCGCCTTCTGAGGTCTCGCCTGGTATGGGAGCGCCTTAGGGATAACTAGCTTCCTATGCCACCAGCTTTCCTTGGTTCCCTCGATCGTAAGCAGGAGCCCACAATGCGTACGCCATGGCACGCGACCCTGAATGACCAGCTTGAGCCTAGGGGCGAAGTCTACTCTTGTTATGCCGTAGTCAATAAGGCTTCCCTTGCCTTTGTCACATGTGATGCCAACATCTGGTCGTAGCACCACTCCTCCTAGCTTGCCAGGTAGCTCAGCGCGTTCCATGCTGTCCGCTGGGATGTTCCAATCAGCCAGGACCACCCATGGGTCCGTGAGAGATCTGATGAAGCCTGACAGGGAGCGGAGCCTGTGGTAATTCGACCCTGCGAAGCCTTCGCCTGGGACCAGGTAGGCCGAGATCAGGATGACGTTGCCCGAGCGCGTGTGGACATTGAGTGCCGCAAAGCCCCTGAACGGGTCGACGTCTCCGTTGTCCACGATGCTCTTCCTCAGCAGGTCGTATCCAGTGCATGCGA